TTCCAGTTCTTCAAATACAGAACAATATGAGCTTCATAAAGAGAGATGTTATTGCACCGTTCTTGTACTTTATTGTGTTAGATTGTACAGGTGTACCTCAAAGCGTGGACACCGAGTTTATTTAACTCTGAACCACAGACGTCAACCCTGTGTGGCCACAGGAAAAGCCAAGTGATCACCAAAGTATTCACTATGCAGTGACTGTCTATTGCAGATTTTAGTGGCCATCCACCTGATAGATTTGAAGACATTTAAGCGAACCAAATGTACCATCACTATCTTCTAGAGTCTTATTTGCAGATATTGATCACGTAGGAGGAGAAATTAAATGTTAACATCCTAAAAATAATGTGCCTCGGCTTTGGACAGCAATTACACGATAATGTCAGAAATGTGAACTTTCTGAGAGGTATCCACAAAAGAGGAAGTGTCGGTGTGTAGGAAGGGAAGGAAGGTGTTGCATGAGAAGTTTCTTAACGATTTCAGAAAGGCGGTTTAGTGTTGCAGCCTCCTGAGTGTCTGTGTGGACACTGTACAAGTGTGTCTTCGGTATTCAAAAACAAAACAAAACAAAAAAAAAAACCCTGACATTTCTTGAGAAAACATTTCCTTGTCTGCTTTTGCACAGTCGGAGTGTTGTTCCGGCGCCATGAGTGGCAGCTACAGATACTGTGGAAATCTGTTGGCTTGCTGTGACGTTCTCCGACCCAGAGTAAAACAATCAGATGTAACACCACAGGCCGGCCCGTTATTACCTGTTATTTGACTCTGGCCAGACCACATGAGAGTGTCAAGTCATGATTACACACATAACAGAGACGATTAAATCGACTCCGACTACAGTCACTATGGGGATTTTGCATTCTTGGCCTTAAACAGCCAGAAACTACAACAACGACCTGCTCTAAAGGAAAGAAAAAAAAAATGCTCTTGAACTTTCAGAACTCTAAATCCTTGAAAATCAGACCAGCGTTTCCAAGAGCGGACAGTATTAATTCCCATCATGTCCACTGTTTTGTTTAGCAGGAGATATACAGTTGTGTGATTGTGGGAACTAACATGCATGCTCTAAAAACTAGTGCACTTTAAGTCGGCTGTTGTTATGGATACCTGGAAAACACACATCTTCTCTGTCACATAAAGTCCTCTTTTTGCTTTTCTTCAAACTGCCAAACAATTATGACATAAAATGTGGGAAAGTTTTGCTGTGGGAACATTATTAAAACCTGAGTTCACTTAACCCAATGACTATAGTTTGTGCAAAACACAAGGTAGCAGCCCGACGCCAGGCGTAAACATGTCATTACTGAAGCCGACCCAAAAGAGCAATTACAGGTATGGTTGCTCAGTCTCACTAAGGCCAGTTCAGTTCAATAATCAATAATTAAAAGTGATGGCAAATAAACGAGGTTGCAAAAGCAGCTATCAAAAAAATAAAAAGAAGTGCCTGTTTACAAAGATTTACTAATAATTTACCACCAGTGGCGACTGCTTTGCTCCTGCCCTCCACAAGCGTCCAATCACAGGGGCTGTTGATTTGTCAGCCCCGTCTGTATGAACATAACAGTGGGTAATATAATAACCAAATTATCGATATTGTCTCCTTTTATGGCTGCAGGCACCGGACTCGTTTCCTGTCTCTGCACTGAATTATTTACCAGTTGTGGCTCCGGTAACCTTCACAGTGACCTGGTAGTTTTCAAACTTTGCACTTTAATCTTGAGTTGTTTCACACTAAACCATGTTCGTTCTGGATATCAACAGTAACTTTGGGGCAAGAAAAAGCAGCAGAAATGGTCCCAGACAACTTAACTGGAAAAAGCTGTGTGTCTGACTTAGTCAGCAGACTGACCGAACTGAATAGGCCTGCACTTCCTTTCCTTCACTAGAGACATTTTCACAGCTGCAGCATAAAGAAAACACTGTTTTGTGGACTGTGGGGTCTGGAAAGGGAGCGCTCCCAGTCAGGCAGACTGCTGTTCTGTTTATGCTTATTTCAAGGTGAGCATACATGAAAGTCACCAGTTTGTCTGTGACCCGCTGGGGGGTCATTCAAGGTAATCCCTGGCTTAGATAAACCAACAGCTTTCTCCCAAACTAAGATGGTGATAAAGCATTTATAGAAACTGCACAGTATGTCTCATCATATGCAACATAATTCAGAACCTCTCATGGCATGTCAATAATCTCCAAACATCCTATTATTACTATAGGCGCAAACTGTTTAGTGTGTCCGTGATGCTGGGTCACATCACGGTGACCAACAGTGGAAAAAGTGTCCAGATTCTTCCCTTAAATAAGACAGGTTGCATAACATTGTAAAAATAGGCCACTTTAACAGTCTGTAATGTAAGATTTGACTTCTGTAAAAGTAAGTATTGTCAACAAACTGTACTTACAGCATTAGAAGTAAGTACAAGTACTCATTATGAGGCTCCTGTCATGTTATGATTCATGTATTATGAACTGCTGATCCAGATGTGCAAACACTTCTTTATTGGAATTGCTTTTAGTTATTGGATCCTGAAGAAACGCTCTCTCATCTAGTTTGCACTGCTGTGAATGTACAGTAACATGACAATAAGCTTGATTTGATTCCATATATGTGCAGTTTTATCCATATATTTGCAATATTTTAACCACCAAGTGCAATATTACAACTACCTCGCTGCTACACCAATGTTTAGTGCTAAACATAACTGCTTTTGGCTTTTTTACACTTATACTGCTGTATTTTTACTTTAAATTTTTGTTTTTGTTTTTATTGTACCGATTATTTATCAGGCTTTTTCTTTAAAGAAAAAAAAAAAAAAGAAAGAAAGGGACCTGAGTACTAATTTCGTACCACAAACGTGAATGTGAGCTGGCATGACAAATAAAGCTCCTTGAATAAGATTGTCATCACTCATGCAATAATGTGTAAATGTCTGTTTTAATGTTGTTGGTGAGTGAAGTGCAGGAGATTTTAACTACTTGTAGTGTCTTAACCTTAATGTTGTTGCTATACATTATTACCTATATTATATGTTATTATGGTCTTAACCTTAATATTTGAATTTGTCAGGTAGAGTTGCATAATAAATAGTACCGTAGGGTCTTCACCTTAATATTTGTCGGGTAAATTTGTATAAAACTTTTTATTACAGCATCTTAAGGAAGCTGAGATCATTCAGTGTCTGCACCAAGATGTTGCAGATCTTCTATAAGTCTGTTGTGGAAAGTGCAATCAGCTTTGCAGCCATCTGCTGGGGCAGTAGCATCAGAACCAGAGATTTAAAGAAACTAAACAATCTGATCAAGAAAGCTGGTTCTGTGCTGGAGATAACTCTGGAACCACTGGAGCTGATTGTTCAAAAAAGAATGCTGCACAAGATGATGAAGATGATGGAGGATTCTTCTCACCCTCTCCACAACACAGTGAAGAATCAACAGAGTGTGTTCAGTGGGAGGCTGCGTCAGTCTCGCTGTAGAACGGAGAGATACAGAAATTCATTCCTGCCAACAGCCATCACCTTGAAGTACAAATCTGACTGACTGACAAGTGACTGACTGAATGATTATTATTATTGTTGTATAAAATATACTATATTGATTTTTTTTTTTAAAGTGAGCTTGTACAATATTGAATTTCCCTTCTGGGATAAATATCGTATTTTTCATTTCATTTTTCATTTTTCATTTTTCATTTCATNAACAGTGTGTTCAGTGGGAGGCTGCGTCAGTCTCACTGTAGAACGGAGAGATACAGGAATTCATTCCTGCCAACAGCCATCACCTTGAAGAACAAATCTGACTGACTGACAATTGACTGACTGAATGATTATTATTATTGTTGTATAAAATATACTATATTGATTTTTTTTTTTTTAAGTGAGCTTTTACAATATTGAATTTCCCTTCTGGGATAAATAAAGTATTTTTCATTTCATTTTTCATTTTTCATTTAATTTCATTTCATTAAGTTTGATATTTAATTCTGTTAAATAATATTGCAGGGTCGTAAACCTAATATTGTTGTATATATTATTATCTAATAGTATACACTATTATGTCATAATATTTGAATTAGTCAGGTGAATTTGAATAAGAAATAATGTTGGAGGCTCTTTATCTTAGTATTTAAATTATTTCAGCAACTTTGCATAATAAATAAAATAGCCTGAATAAGTAATTTAGTCAGACAGTTTATATTTTATATCATATTTTAGCCTTAATATACAAATTAGTCAGTTAAATCAGTGTAAGAATATCATTATACAGCCTTAACTCTAGTAGCTAATTTAGTCAAGCAATGCTTTTTTAATTATTATTTTTTATATTGTAGAATTTAATCTTATTTTTAAATTAGTCTGGTAAAATTAAAAGAAAAAAAAATACAGTTGGGGTTTAACCTAAATATATAATTTGCAAATGTATATTTCAGACAATATGGTAGGGTTTTAACAGTGATATTTAAATTCATTCTTTGGCACCTTAGCCTACATCTGTTTTTCTAAATATAAAAAAGTGTGACTTGACTTGTATTAACCATGTTATAAATAGCTGGTCAGGTTTATTGGTCTTTTTTCTCTCTGTATATAAAATCTTAATCTCAACCGTTCCACGTGAATGTGTTTCTGGTATATAGAGATATAGATCAGTACTAATTGGTACAAATTCCCACGTAAGCAAGTACGTATAGCAGTGACCTGAACTCAACTTTGTGGTTTTTATCTCATGTGCAGCGGTATAGTTTTAATTATAAACTTCCTAATATTATTGTTGTCATCTTCTCCAATATAGAACGACTTAACAGCGGTTTATTATTCATTTAAATTCGTCAAAGTGTGTAAAATGTGCCCCTTTTTCAGCACTTAAACTTTAAGTTAAAACGCATGTGTGTGGCAGCTTGACAGCCGACCCCCTGGTACTAGTACCGGCAACATCTCGCGATAACTTGCGAGAGCACTGACGTAGGCGCGACGCAGGCTTGCGGCTGCGTCCAATGGGAGATAAAACTGGAAACAGCGTGGTGAAGGACGACCGGCTGGCTGACAGGGATCTGATAGCAAGGAAGCCGCGGAGAGAGGAGCCTCGTGTCCCGGGCTGTCACCGAAAGAAACTCAAGTCGGTTTTGAAGGTGAGACTTTTATTATATAAATAAAATAAAATAAAAAACAGAACCACGGGAGTGTTTGTGGTGCTGAAATAGTTAAAGCGCATGTGTGGAAGATATATATATTCTTTTCTTCTTTCCTGCGCGGAAGTACAGTTAGTGTCACTTTAAGCTAACCTGTAAGGCTAACTTGCTTTTGTTCTGCCCCTGTCACATTATCGGTTTCTTGCCCCCCTTGCTCGCGTTGAGTTTTCCCAATTTTTTCCCCCCACAATGAGCCAAGGACGCCATAACGAGGGAAGCCGGTAGTCACGTTCAAGCCAGTGCTGTCGTGTCGGTGTTAACGGCTGCTCATGACCCTGACTGACTGACTGAAGGGGGTAACCGTGTCAGTGGGTAGACATTACACACTTTGCTGACCTTGACAGAGAGCAGGCTGCTGCTGCGTGGATAACATATCTTTACGACCGTTTTTCCACTAATCTAACTTACCTGTGTACATTCAGGTGAAGCTAAATTGACTGAATGTGGCCCACGTGGTGACATATGGTAGGACAAGTTTGTGTCAAGGATCCCTCAGGTCAGCAGCAGGTGACATTGACAGCTAGGACGTCCTGAGAGAGAACCCTCATGTCATTTTACACACTGTTATGAATGCATCTTTATTACACAGTCACAAAGGGTTTACTATGTGCCTGACACCTAGTACTGCTACCATGTGTGAATTTAACTTATATTATTGTATAAGTGGCCAAGAGAAAAACCCAACCACCAAGATCACTGTCTCCTCTCACACAGAGCCTCCCCTCGTCTGCAGCTAATGTCCATAATTCAGAATGTGCTGCTGTCTTAAGAATACTCGCACAAGCCTCGCAAATGGGATTTGCCTGCCCCGCTGCTGTTACACTTTCCCAGCTTTTCCTTCAGCATGACCCTCATGTGATTCGTCCTGCACAATGACTCCTACTCGCCCCCGACCCCCTCTCTCCTGCTCCCCCTGTGGTCGCTCCGGTTTTCTCACCATCTCTTTTTGCATCCCACACCTCGCTTTTCTTTTTTTTTCTCCTTCCCCCTCTTTCTTTTCTTCTCCTCTCCTGCTCCCCCTGTCGTCTCTCATCATCTCATTTTGTCTCCTCGTATTATTCCTCTCTGTGTTTGTTAGTTCGTCATTTTGCCAACAGGAATAGAGTTGCTCTAAAAGGTAAACTGAAAAATTATTATTATTAAGAATAGCTGGTTACTGTGGATTTTGGTCTGAGAGAAAATCAAATGAATCAAGTCTTTGAAAAGAGTCAATTTTATTTAACTTAAGGGGTATAAATGCTCCATTTTTCCAGGGTGTGTTTTTGTGATTTCATTTAACGTAGGCAGACTAATTAGTTGTTCTGTCATATAGCAAATGCAATACACCAGTTGCAGGTTATGTGGCCTGTGCTGTACATCATGTACTGATTAACTGTGCTGATAATGTTTTGTGGGTTCGGTTAAGTGACGTTCAGTCAAAGGTGTAATTATTAGGGGCAGTTATAATATGTTAATGAAGCAGGTGTGCATGCATAGATGGCGTTATGCCGTGTGTTGGACATTGATTTGTGTCTCTGCACCAATAGTTTACTTTAATCTACTTAATTGGTGTTTATTGTTGAAGAAATTTTAGTCCTCATGTGACGTTTGCTGTAGGGGGGTGTTTATTAGTGCTCCGGTATACGGTGGGCTAACCAACACAGAGTCTGTGAAGGCGAGCCGACCCAGAACATTTGCAGTGTTACACCTGTTACAGGGTATGTCAGAGGGTCGGGAGGTAAGAGAACCTCCCAAAGGGTCTGGTGACCATCAAAAAAAAAGAGAATGACTTTCTTCATCATTATACACGGATGGAAATCCTGCTGGACACTGCCAGTGTCAGGCTCTCATGTCCTCTTCCTGTATGTAGGTTTAAGGTTTAATCACCAGTTAGACAGTGTTTTTTACTTAATTTTTAATTGGATGTGGGCCTCCAGGAAAAGGGTTTAGTTTCTCTTCTAAACACGTCCTGTAGCAGGAAGAAAACCGTTTTATCAGGAGGTAGTTGTTGACTCTTGTATCATTCTGGGAAATGCTAATTATTTTGTAATGAGTGCTGCCCCAGTTGCAAATTACACAGCATCTCACAGCAACAACAGCTGAAAAACATTCACACAAACAGTTTGTAATAAGAGCTGGAGATTTTGCTCACAACACTGTAATTATTGTTATTGTGCCCGTGGCGGGTGTATTTAAGGTTGCACTGGATGCTAATTATGTAAATTCAAAAGTTGAGCGCAGTGGTCGTTGGTAGCTGATCGTGTCAGCAGTTTAAAACTACAACTATATCCGACTATTAACAGTGCAAGTTCACACTTGTTGTGTTGCTTCAGTTAATTTAGTCAAAGAGTGCGACTGATTGTACACGAGAGACTAACGCTTGTGACCCTCTACCTCCCCACTCACAATAGCGCTGTTGTAATGTCACAGTAACAGTAACCTATTTATGAAGCAATGGTTGCTTTATTATCCCGAAGGAATTTGTTCATTTTCTAAGAACACTGTGAGGAGGAAGCTGCTTTTGCAACACGTATAAACTGGAGAGGATTTCAGGGACAGTGATATTTAATCTTCCCTCGCTGTCCTTGAACTGAACTCTGCTTAATTACAAATCATTTCCAGTCTCTTAAATATTTTCTTTTTAAAATAAAGCTTATATTTAAAACATCACATTCACTCTGCTTTACTTCGAGGGTAAAAATCTTGATAGCTGGCGGGAGTGACTGCCTGTTCCACAACTTGTGTTTCAACAACCTTGACGACAGGTTCACAGTGTGCAAAGATCATTTTCGGTTAAAGCTTGTTGGACGACACTTCGCAGAAGGGTGTGTCTCGTGTTTGCTTTTACTATCTCGCTTGCACACACGTGTCCAAAAAATTCTTGAATGGAGATACAGAACATATAGTGCCTCTCAGTCGTAGCCATGCATCAAACACTGCTCGACTGATGTGACCTTTTTTTAATGTTTTAAAGCACCAGCTATAACATTTTGAGGCCGTGTTTAAAGTTGTTTGTTTGGGCATGTTGTGTATATATACCATTAATATCCATAGGTTTCTACATCTAAAAGAGCAGCTAAACTGATTAAAGTATTAGCTCTGCAAAGGTTCGGTATGTTTGGTATGTAAGATTAAAGAGATGGCTCTGCCCACCTTAGAGAGCAATTAGCTTTACACAGCAGCAACTAATCCCCGCTTTCTAAAGCCCACATCAGTCGGACTTAAAGTTACCAAACAGACTGTGAACACGAAAAATGTGAGGCTGCTCATTTGTTCTTCGTGACATTCAGAGCAGCAGCTAATATGCTGCTCTTTTAGCGAGGGCGTGTCGCCCTGCTCAAGGTTGTACAAGTCAAGCACTCCTGGGGCTGTCTGAGGCCACGCCATGTTCTAAAGTTAGCCGTACTTCATAATGCCGGGAATAGCCGGAGCGTTTTCTAAGCAAAGTCATTCGATGGCGTGCTTCCAACACCCTCGTTTGCTTTATTGAAATATACTTTAAACACAGGGTTAGACTTTTTATCTGTGCTGTCCTGGAAGCATGCCGCTGGAGTTTATCGAGGCCAAGCTTTAGTCCTGCAAATTAGGCCCCCTTGGCATTTGCCCACACAAGCCCTCCTCACGCAATGTCCAGTCTGGGATCTCCCACCAGTGCTTCCAAATTGGCCCTGGACATGATTAAAAGTTTGCCTGCTGCTCTCTGGCTGCACAACACACATCCTAATCGCTGCAGACGAGCTCAGCGTTGTGTTTCTTTTTGTCCCGTTTTCTTTTTTTATTGCTTTGTTCACACTGAAGAGGCAGGCGCAAAATACCTCAAACAAACGGCGGACAAATATAGTTGTGAGCCAGATTTAGAGCATGTGGGCTTTGATTGAGCCGACTGGCAACAAAGCAACGCTTTCAGTGTTTTTACGCCGTCCAAAGTCCAGTCGTTTGTGTTGAAAGCTTAACTGATGTGGTCATATACTGCTCACATAGGTTGACGATTAAAAGCTGCTGGATTAACCCACTTCAAGGCTCGATAAGACAAGTGTTGTGGGTTTTGTTCTTTTCTGAAGGTTAGGCACATTAGAGGAGGTCATGAGAGTCAGGAGTCGTATCGTTCTGTCTGCTCACTGGGTGCTGGGACTAGCTGAGGTTAGCTTTTTAATGACAACTGCACGAATTCTTGGAATGCTTAGGTCTCACTTAGGGCTGGACCCGAACATCCAAATGTCCGAATATTTGGTCGTTGTAGTGGTATCTACATATCAATTTTGAGATCCGAATATTCGCCCACCTCCCGCCTGCACTCCTTTTCTTTCAAACTCAACAAACAATCTCTTGACATTTTGCACACTTATCTCTCCTTTGTCACTTCCTCATCGTGCCAGCTAACTCATAATTGCACCTTTTAATCTAAGGATACCTGCCAGATATCTGGGGCAGGAACATTCGAATGTCCAAATATTTGATTGTTGTAGTGGTATCTGGATGTGAATTTTGAGATCCGACTATTTGCCCCCAATCCACCTCCCGCCTGCACCCTTTTTCTTTTAAACTCAACAAACAACCTCTTGACATTTTGCACACTTATCTCTCCTTCATGTCTTCCTTATCGTGCCAGCTAACTCATAATTACACCATTTAATCTACGGATACCTGCCGGATATCTGGGGCACAAACATCCAAATGTCCAAATATTCGATTGTTGTCGTGGTGTCCGGATGTGAATTTTGAGATCTGAATATTCACCCGCTTCCTGCCTGCACCCCTTTTCTTTTAAACTCAACAAACAATCTCTTGACATTTTGCACACTTACCTCTCCTTTGTCACTTCCTTATCTTGCCAGCTAACTCATAATTGCACCTTTTAATCTGAGGATACCTGCCAGATATCTGGTGCACAAGACTGATAGCGGACACGTACCTTGCAGGAAAGTTGAAAAGAACTTTGAAGAGATTTCTTTTTACGTGTAAATAAAATGGGTTTTTAAGTCTATCTGGCAGCCTTTTGCGTTGGGTTTATTGCATGTTTATAATGCCATGATGAAGACAGTATTTGAAATTACTGAAACCTGCCGTGACCAGCGGGTGTGTTTTAAAGTGTGTGATAAGCCAATCTTGCTCAGACTTCTTGACCAGTGCAGGGGCATACCGCTACTCCACAGCTGAACTCTGGAGTAACACAGTGTCCGCAGAACATGGCCCACCTCTTGTCCAAACTTCCCTGGGGTTTCTTCTGCTGCTGCTGCTGCTCACTAGAAAGGCAGCACTGTTTGCGGGCACAAAAGCCCAGTGTCCTGCACAGGTCAACACAGTCTCCATGTGAACTCCATCACCAGCAGAACACAATAACCGCCTCCCACCAGCTTCGGTTCAAATCATACGCCAAACAAAGCAAGTTCTCAGTTTGGCAAAGGAAACAAGACCTGAAATATAAGCCCTCTGTATATATTCTTAAACACTTACATCCATGACAAGTGGAATAGGAGCTGGCATGTGATCGACCCCGAGAGAGAAACCTGTTCTGGATGGTCAGATGGGTCGGAGTCTGTGCATTTATTACAGCTTTAAGCAAGTTTAAATGGCTAATCAGAACAGCTATTTTCTGTTAAACATGCACGTTAAGGAAAAAGCAAGACAATGCTAGAATATAGAGTTTCTGACCACTCAGTGAATTTTCTATCGATTAAGTGAAATTTGACTCTACAAGGTCGCTTCATGGCCTTCAGCTGCTGAGAAAGCAGCAGCTATTTCAACTTCAGATGACTTCAAGTATCTCAGCTTGAAACAGCAGCACATTGCACACACTATAAAGAAATTAAAGCGCTAAAGTGTGTGTTTTGAGGACAAAACATTCATCTTCTGCCAACTCGAACGTGGCGCTTCAGTTTCAGTTTATAGTCTCCACGTGTACAAATCTGACTTTTCTATTTTCTGCTTCTCTTTTCCAGAGCCCTGAAAAGCAGCGATGGATCAAGCAAGGACGACGATATCCAAAATTGTAAGTACTGTAACTACCAATACAGCCTAAAACCGAAAAACAACAAGCTTTGCTCTGAGGTTTTATCGCTCCTTTAATAGGATGTTGTTGTTGCAGCCTCTGAAATGACTGTAATTGTAAATATGCCACGTTACATAACTGAATGGGTTTTTTTTTTTTTGCATCTTGGGAACAAATGCGAAGGAACTCGGGACACATTGTAGATTTAAAAATCCTTTATGAAAGTATTATAAAGTGATTAAATCCTTCAAATACTTAAAGCCATTTTAATAATTATTGTCTTTACAGATTAGTAATAAGTTTTGTATTGCCATCCTACCAGGGCACTTCTAAACAAATGTCGACGTTTTATTTTACCAGAAATCTCCTGACAAATGTTTATAGCACGCATGTATCCTCACCATAAAGAAACCAGGGTTTGTTTTAAGGCTAACACAGATTATTTGTAATCAAGGAGTCCGATAACTAGTTTTTGGGACTAACATTTGTAGTAAAAATGAACATTTTGATGCTAAAATATATGAAATATATTGAAATTCCTTTATTTATGTTTTGTTTAATTAGAAAAGCACTTTAAAATATCTGATGAGAGAAAAGGATATAGTTTGGTAGTTTGTCGTCCTCGTAGAAGAATCACCACGCCATGCTCATTTTCAGTCTACCGTTTTTTAAAATCTCTCAAGAAGCTCATTTTCTTGTTCTTTTTAAGTGACATCAAGTTTTAATCTGAGCATATTCAAGGTTGTGCATTTCTGGTCTGTTTGCCTTGGAAACCCAACCAGGATTTGTCAGATACCACTGTATTAAGTTCTCTGGTCACACCCGAAAGGTAAACTTAAAAATGAGCGTTAAATGTGCTTTTTTTTTTTTTTTTTAACAAGATAATGACTGAAAAAGAAACAGCTGGAATCTGTGCAGTCAGAAAAAACCAGAAATGACATTGTTCTTTGTGTATTCTACAAAGTTTATTTTTATTTGGAGGCGCATTCTTGATGAATCGGTGGGGCATATCAAATCCTGGTCCGATCAAATAAGCATTAATATGATTTATTATCATTGGAAAAGCCATTAGCTACCAACTACAAACCCTTCATTCAAAGCATGACTCGTGAGAACAGCAAACTAAACTGATCTTGTTTTAATCTTGTAGCTTTTAAGGGTCAGCTTTTGTTTGTCATCCCCAGCTCGTAGTTCAATGTTGTCTTAAGTCCTGCTGCATTGGTCATAGATTCCAAATCTTGAAATCAGAACTCCCATCAGCAAAAACAATTCAATTCAATTTTATTTGTATATCGCATATTTACATATTTTTCTTCTCTTCGTCCCTGCGTCGTTCTGTTTCTAATAGTTTAATGGGGAGCCGCACTCCTACACACGATTCAACCTGACCCAGAACATGGAGGGCGACAACAGCCAGGTGGAGATGAAGCTGTCGTCCGACGTGGACGAGGAGGTCGGTGGAAACGGCGTCGGAGATCACCTCAATCACAACTCCAACCGCAAACCCTACGTGGCTCAAAAGTTGGGACGCACGCCCAAGAACCTCTGCTTCGTGGCCGTTGCTACCTTCCTCATCTTTGTCATCGGTAAGACGGGCAATATCGAATGAAGTAGCTGTTGTTTTTTTGTTTTTTTAAAGAAATTGTCTGCATGTCTCTGAAATCCCTTGTGGAGCTCCTCAGGGATCAATGTCAGGCCCGTGATTTTCTGCATTTATTAAATCTGTTGAGGTAATGTCAGGAGGAGGCTGAGTACGTCTTTCCTCGTAGATCGACAGACAGTTTTCTCTGTCGTTGTCCTTTTAAAATAGATGCTGCTTTCGTACCTGTGTAAAGGCTAGTCACTTGGCGCCACCTTGAGGCCCATGTGGGGAATGTCGCCAAGTCTGACTTCAATTATCTGAAAAAAATCACTCAACTGTGTTCATTTCTTTGTCCCAGCAACACGGAGACACTCGTGCAAGCTTCTTTTTGTCCTACATCTACCAGTCAGAGGTCGGCATTTAGTAGTTAATTCTGTAAAATTTAGTTTACTAGATAGAGAAATTGTTTCTCTGGGGATGTCTGGCGTTTACTGTAAGTTAAAGCCTGACTGATACTGAATTTTGGGGGCTGATACCAGTAACTGCGAATCATGTAGCTACTTGCATTACTTGTCAAACGTGTGAGAAGCAGAGCAACATGACGGCTATCGTAGCAGACTAAAACACGAGGACGTTGGTTATTTTCTTTCCACCATCTAGCTAGCAATGTAGCGTGAAATTAACACTCAGCAGACTCGATCCACCAACACATAGATGTCTGCTGAGCTGCAGAATGAATCGAAGGAGATGCTCGGATGCTGATTAAAATACAGCTACCTTGCTAACGTAGGAAACCGTTGTGATGAGGATGAGTGACGTCGTGGATCTATGCGCTTGTCCTCCTTTGTGTTGTGATTGTTCCCGTCTCTCTCTGGCCGTTCCTCATGTGAAACCACTGCTGCTTCCAGGGTACCTGATCGGCTACCTGGTTCACCGGAACAAGGATGTGTCTCCCATCTGTCCCGCCGCTGTTTTCCGTGCCGAAGAGACTGCTGTTCGTGGTGAGACAGGCGCCGCCCCCCTCATGGACTGGGACGACGTCAAACAGCTCCTCGCTCAAAAGCTCACTGCATCCAAATTAGATTCCGTCTTCAGGTGAATGAAACCGCAAAACGCCGCTTGTTGTGAAACACTGTAGAATTCAGCAGTTTTAAAAGTAAGTAACCGTGTTGTGTTTTGTTCTATCACAGTGACTTTTCTAGCACTGAGCACCGGGCTGGCTCTGCCGGTGACGAAGGTCTGGGAAACAAGGTGCTCAATAGGTTTAAAGAGTACGGAATGAAGACCTGGACCGATGAGCACTTTGTCAAGGTTCAGGACCCCCCGACGTCCGGCTCCAACAAATTTGTTTTCAAGAACAATCCGGAGGAGCGTCCAAGCGGATTCCTTTCCTACAGCGCTACTGGAAAAACAACGGTAAGCAACAAGCTACATTAAGAGACGGAACAGTTTTAAAAATTCAGTAGAGAAAGTGCAGTGACGGTTCTTGTTTTGGGTCCAGGGTGCGGTGCTGTATGCCTACTACGGGCGGGAAAGTGACTTCAGGATGCTGCGGGACAAGAGCATCAACATGAACGGCAGAGTCATGCTGGTCAGAGCTGGTAGGAACAGCTTTGCAGAGAAGGTGGGTGGTTCGAGAAGGAATATGTCTTGAAGCATTGCTGTGAGCTTTCTCTGTCTTTTCCTCTGAATCATTTCAAAGCATTGGTACAAGTTATTTTACTGTCAGTGAAAATAATAAGCTGAAGTAAACAGATCCATATTTATTTTCTTGTACCTTTTCTCTATTTCTTTTGCTTTTAGGTAGCCAATGCTGCCAAAATGAACGCCTCCGCTGTGCTGATCTACCCAGATCCCAGTGATTACTCTATCGGAGACACCACTCAGCTGTTCGGACACGTAAGTGAAGCAGGAAGATGAACCCCACTAAAGAAACGAACATATTTATTCAGTGTACAAGACGAGCTTAATGATAACTAAAGATGCTGTGGCGGAACTTCTGCTAATGGTCCAGGTTGAAAAGGCTCCAGGTTCCTGTGATAAAGTATTCAAAATGTAAAATCAAACCTCATATCTCCATCTAAGCTTCTTCTGTGCATTTCCCACAGGTCCACATGGGCTCCGGGGACCCCTATACCCCAGGCTTCCCCTCCTTCAACCACACCCAGTTCCCTCCTGTGCAGTCTTCAGGCTTGCCAAAAATCCTGGCTCAGACCATCACACAAAGCATGGGCAACACCATTCTGAGGTAAAGCTCCCGTACGCCATACTCCCATACTCTTAAAATCAGAAAGTATACATCATCTTACAGAAGGTTAACGTTTGTTTGGTCACATCCCACAGGCAGCTCACCGGTCAGAATCTGCCCGACGGGTGGGATGGCTACAACAGACTCGGAGACGAAGGTGACACCCTAACTCTGGAGGTCAACAACGTTCTCACCGAGAAAAAAATGAACAACGTCTTCGGGGTGATCAAAGGCTTTGTGGATGCAGGTAAATCGAGGTGCTGTTCGAACCGGAGACGGACGCTAAGTTCAGGAATTCAGAGAATGACAAACGTTGTGACCGTTTTCAGATCGATATGTGGTCATCGGCGCTCAGAGGGACGCCTGGGGTCCGGGCTTCGCTGCGTCAACCGTTGGCACCAGCGTCCTCGTTGAGTTGGCCCGTTCCATCTCAGACATGGTGAAGAACGGTGAGTCTCGGGTGGCAGCTGTTAAGTTTTTAATGTGCAAATAAGGCCAGATTTTGTAGATGTAGATTTCTCGTCAGTGTTTGTCACTTCTTGTGAATGTACTCCTGCTACTCACCTTGACAGATGGATTCAAACCGAGGAGGAGCATCGTGTTTGCTTCCTGGAGTGGTGGGGAATACGGGAGTGTTGGTGCCACCGAGTGGTTGGAGGTGAGAAATGCATCACATAATCTTTGAGGTTTTCTCAGCTGCATTGTCTTTAACAGCAGTTTATATGCAGAAATAATAATAGTGTTTGCACTCTTGCTATTGTACAGTCAGTTACATTTTTTAATATTTCTATATTTAGGGATATCTGTCTTCACTGAGCATGAAAGCCTTCTCCTACATCAACCTGGATGGCATCGTAACAGGTACTTACGGTCATGATTAGACACATCTTGTGCCTCCTTTGTCTTCTTCCTGAACTCTAGATGAAGCTATTTAAGATCATATAATATGCCACTGTATGCAGTTTCCAGAATAACTCAATGTAAGTCTTCTTTTTCAGGTCAGAGTGGGTTTAAAGTAGCAGCCAGTCCCTTGATGTACAGCCTGATTGAAAAGACTCTAAAAGAGGTAAATCCTCAGCAGATCTGTCGGTGCAATGAATTCATTTATCAGTTTTGTTTCCAGAACATTAAGGCACACATGCACTTGCTTTGTCCTCAGGTGAAGTCCAACAAGGCCGTGTCTCTGTCTGCTCAATTTGCAAAGAGCAACTGGGAATCAAATGTGTAAGTGTGTTGGTTAATTCAGATCCACAGAGATTAGTTTCTTATTAAATACCACAAACCTTTCTCACTAGCATCAAACCTGTAGCTGGGATGTGTAGGAGATCTGTGTTATTTACTTTGGGCTAATGTTCACTGTCTAATCTGGTTTTTCATGTGTTCCTTCTGAAGGTTGGAGCCTCTCAGGATGGAAAATGCTGCATATCCTTTCCTTGCCTTCTCTGGCATTCCTTCAGTCTCATTTAGATTCACCACTGGTGTTTCTGTAAGTTACTCTTCTGTGGTACAATTCTTTCGGAGCATTTTTTTTTAAACAACAGCTGATGGCAACCCTCTGGTATCCCCTCTCAGGACTACCAGTACTTTGGCACCCTGCAGGACACCCGGGACAAACTGAACCGAGTCACATCCAGCCAGGTTCCTCAGCTGGCTGAAATGGCGGGCCGATTTGCAGGTCACATGGCGCTGAGGCTGGTCCACGACCACCTGCTGCCGATGGACCTGAGGAAGTACGACTCTATCATACGTTACAACGTGGCTCAGATCAACGGGAAGGTCAAGAATGTCCAGAGGGTGAGTGTCCAACTGATAATATTTACCATTTGTGAAAGAGAGTAGCTGAAGAAATCAACGTACCTGACTGCTGGTGTACTCAGTTGTTAACTATATTAAAGCTTCAAGAAGCCAGTTTACCTCTTCTTTTTTTTTAGTGCCATTTAATTAATTTTGTCACTGGTTTTGTGTAGTTACCGCTTTAAATATACAACTCAACTGTGTCCACAAGATGCACATCCGTTTAGTTTATTCAGAAAGCTAAAGCACCCCTGTGGATGTTACCTGTGGTTCCAGGTGCAGCCCCAGCTGTTGCCCAAAGCCCTGACGGTGCAGTGGTTGAACTCGGCCTCTGGCTCCTACAGTCGAGCAGCTCGCAGCCTGGCAACAGACATCACCAACAGCGACCTGGAGGACATCCAGATGTGTCGCATCATCAACGACCGCATCATGACCGTAAGAACTGTGGCTCAGCTCTCAGCAGATATAAGCAGTGAGGTCACTCGAGGGATTAATAAACAACTTGACATAAACTCAGACTGTAGATTAGCCTAATGTCACAGTAAGTGAGCTGTACCATTAAAAAACTAACCAGAGATGGTAGCAGGTAGCCTTTGTTCCTTCTGGCTATCCTCTGTTATTTACAGAGATTTCACAAGCCGCCATTTCACCTTTTGACTCCAGCAGAATTTATGCACTTTACTCTGGTTAACCTGCCTTTAGCTCACATATCTGACTGTGTTAATTTATTAAAGTGTAGTCGTTAATGGACAGGCAACTAGAACAACAGGAGCTTTTTATTCCCATCAGCTACAGACAGGTTTGCTGGGTGTTTGACCTTGTGTTCAATTGAGCACGTCCAAATATGGGCAGTTTTTAAGGTGTTATGTCTCCTTAATGTCAGTGTTTTTGGTGTACAATATTTTTTTTTTTCTTCAGCTTCAAAGCTCATGTGCTTCCTGGTCTCTGCCTTATCTTCTCATCATCGTTCTCGTGTCCGTCGTCTCGTTTCTGCAGGTGGAAAGGAACTTCCTGTCACCGTACGTTTCTTCTAAAGAGAGTCCTTTCCGCCACATCCTGCTGGGCTCCGGCCCTCACACCCTCAAAGCTCTGTCCACCCACCTGGACGCTCTCAGGACGGACAACCCCGAGGCCGACGCCGACCTGTTCCGCAACCAGTTCGCCCTGGCGACCTGGACCATCCAGGGCTGTGCCAACTCGCTAGCAGGAGACATCTGGTCTTTGGATAATCAAATCTAAAATTAAGTCATTTCCCTCCCTTCCTCCTCCTCCTCCTCCTCCTCCCTCCCTTGTTCACGGTGTGGCCCACTTAACTGAAAACCAGTTCGCTGTCGTAGCCGACAGCTTTTAAAATTAAATCACGAGATGATAAAAGAGGAGCTACATCTAAAAGCATCACCTCATCATTTTCATTTCATCGAGCTGCTTCATCTCCCACATTTCAGACATCGTCCGTAAAGCCAAACAATAATGATCAAATGTGCAAAAGCCTTAACAGAAAAAAAAAGAGAAGTTTAATTCTTTAGTTTGACCACGTGACACTTAAACGTCACGACCTTAAATGCTTCGGTGCTAATACCAACTACCTTCACACGCCCGTGTTACGCGGCAGCACTACTTCAACCGGCATTACCCTCCGAGTGAGTTTGAATGTTATTTCCTCGTATCAGGTCGTACCCGTTAAAACCCAGAAGGCCAGTATGACAGCGAGCTACCAACTCCCCATTTGTTTACCACGATCATCAGGCTGGTGTCGACGCTGCAGCTGAGCCTCGTGTTCAAACCTGAGCCGGTTTGCGTTGGTAGCTGCTGTTTCGTACTGCGCCGGGTTCTGTGAGAGATTCAGGAGTTGCTTGGAGGACTGCAGTTTAATTTACAGTAATACAGTCGTGCCTCATCGACCTCACACGGAGACTCGGGACAGTCAGCCGCTCAGCTAGAGACTCGCGCTGCATCAAGTCTGATTTACATGAAAAAAATAAAAAAGAAGTGTTGAAATGATTTGAAGTAACCGCCTCCTGGCATCAGAGCTAATCTGTGTTGGCCTTTCAAAAAAGAAAAAAAAAGAAAAACAATACAAGCAAGGGAGACGATCTCCAACCACGTGGCACTGAAACAGAAACCGTATGTCTATTTATTGTGTTATTTATTTATCAGTGGCAGGGTTCACTATAAATAGTTTTTTATCGCCTTTTATAAAAAAAAACTAATAAATAAAGTATAATTATCGGGAGCAGTGCCTTCCATAATTATGACAGTTATACTGTCGAAATGACAAAAGCAGCATCTGCTTAAAGAAGTGTACATGACGACCGACGGCTGGTACCGAACACAAACAGAACAGAATGAAAACAACAACTTTAACTGACACTGGACCGGTCTAACAATGCCGGATCACACATCTCTCTCCCATCCGACTGTAGTTATCCAACACGTCTGCCGGTACCGGTCCTTCGGTCCATGGACACTTCTCATCCTGACACCATTATCGGGAGCAGTGTCTTCCATAATGTGGAAAAAGAAGAAGGTAGTTTTTGCCTACCAGTGTGTGTCTGTATCGGAGGCAGTGCCCTCCATATTTCACTGTAGGGGTGGATGTTTTTATTATCGGGGACAGTGTTTCCCATAATGTGTATATACAGTTGACAGCTTCACAGCGCTCGCATCTCCACAAGCCGCCTTCGGTCTGTAGTTTCCCCTCAAGACGGCCCGAACCTCTGCTCGCGGATCAGAACCCGCGAGTCGTTACGGAGGTGAAGGAGACCATGTGGGTTTCTCTAATCTGGTCTTGTGTCGTCTTTTCTTTGCTGCATCTGAAGCGTGTTCCAGACGTGTTGGGATCACTGTGGTTCCAGCGGTGTGGTCCAGTGTTTCCATGAGAACTCTGCGTTGTATGAGCTTCAATGATTCAGCCGTTGTTAGAAAGTTCTTTCTGTTCTCATGTTCCTTCTTGAGATTTCCTCGTGCCTTTTTGTTTTGTTTCGGGACTGCGTTATTGAACTCTACTCGTAGTACTTTAAGAAGTTTTTGGAGGATGAATATTTGGATTGTTTTGACGTTTGTTTCTCTGTTTTTATTTTTTTTCTCCTGTTGTCTGCTAGAATGAAAAAGTTACTGGCGTCAAAGCCTTTAGATGAAGTTACCAGAGGAGTGTAAGAATCTGTGAGACTGGGTTTTAAATGACAGTGGATGTTACAGTACCTGACACAGCCCTCCTCTTTCCTCTGTTCATCTGCTTATTGTTTTCTATTCAGAAGCCATCCGACGCCTCCAGTAGAAAAAAATCAAATGTGACTTTAATTGTTTTTAAATGTGGACGTTGCATTTCTAAAACTTGCTTCACATCTGGAAAAAAAAATGAACGTTTTTATTTAGGAATTGGTCTAAAAAAGTGTTTTATTTGCAGCGAATTTAAATTTCTGAAGAATATGTTTTAAAAATGTTCAAAACAACGATGTGCTTTTTGTTTTTTCTCTCTTCTTGGACTGTATACAAGTTTGCTTCGCTTTCTGTTGCTGCAATAAACAATCACATCACATCTGGTTTCAGTCTCTGCTTCTTCTCACCATCAACGGTTCTTTCTACGTGACTTCAGGTTCCAAATAAGT